AGAAAAAAAAAAAAAAAAAAAAAAAAAAAAGAAAAAGAAAAAAGCTCTTATCACAGCAGGCAACACAGCCTCCCTTGCTCATCCTCCTTAATCACAAGGAGACTATTTCTACTCTCAGAAGATAAAACTCTCCAGCTCTCTTTGGAAAGGAGCAACCTGGTAAGCATCATTTGGGCCAGAGCTGATCATGGTACAAAGACCATGCCACCTCATGGACATCCCAAAGATAAGAGAAACAGCTCTGCTCTCCACATGTTGTGCTATACATAGACAGGCCAGGGTCTACCCCAGCTTCTCCTGCACTTGGAGCTTTTAACCACAAACCTGGGGTTACCTCAACTCTTTCCCAGCCCTAGCCTGCTAGAATTGGTCGACACATCTTGTCCATTTCATTTTAAAGTGTTCTCAAACATCTCTTGCTTTACTGCTCCCATCATCTCCTATTTGGAGTATCAGAGCCACTTCTAGTGGCATGTAGATGAACTCCCAAAGTCACTACCAGAGCAACCTCTAACATACAAACCTACTCATAACACAGCTCAAAGACCCACCTCCAAGCCTCTAGTGAGGACCCCTTTTGTCCCTCCCCAAGGGCTCTTCAGCTCACGCCTGACTTTTTCACCCTATGCTTAGGGACCCACCCCACTGCTCCCAGCCTTGGTGAACTCCTACACATTTCTGAAGCCTAACAGGAGCATGGCCACATCTGGGAGCTTTCCTGCACAGTCTGCCTTGCCCTCCTCTGGGTCAGACACATTAATCTGGTGTTTATGCACCTGTGTACTCAATGACTGGTGCATGGAAGGGTCCCCTAGACTGTGAGCTCCAGGGAAGACAGGGTCCATACCTCTGTCTACTCAGGTATCCCAATGATGAGCACACAGAACAGCTTCAAATTTAATGACTGGACTAAACGATCAATGAAAAAATTACAGAACAACTGGCCCTGAATTTCAGGCAAATCACCTCCTTATATGCACAGTAAGAGTCTGGGGACAAGGCCTTTTTCCCAGCCCCGGGAACTAAGGCACCATGAAACAACTTCCTCTTCTTACTCTAGAGTGGCAGCAACTGTGATTTCGCCAATGACAATCACTTTCAAAATTGTGAAAAATGGGATTACTTCACCATAAGCTCACTGCCATAAGGCATATGCTGGTTATTTTTCCTGTCTCTCTCC